GAATAGGTCCTCAGTACCCCCTTGCTTGTCGTAAAAGGCGACTAAATGGGGCGGTCCTTCGGATGAGACCGTATAAACCGAGGCCCCGTGTCACAGCAGGTGTGGCACGATAAAGATCCCTCCCTGCTCAAAGGCCGTAAGTGCCGAGCATAGGCCTAAATTTTGCAGCCCTTCGCCGGCAATGGTGACGTCTCCATATCAGTGAAATATTCTGGAGAGGGACGTTAAACAATATACAATCAATCAATCAATCTCATGGTTTATACTAGTAGTTTGGTTTGTAGAAATAAATTGGGTAAAATTCTAGACGTCATATATCAATAACTAGCATTTTGACTGAAAATATAGTTTTTATTTTCTATTTCCGCAAAAAAACAGCTGTCAGTTGGGTTCTGTATTAAAATGGCAGTACTTACCTTTGCATCGGAAAGTGCCCGATGCATGGTTAATTTGTATCCGATGTACGGAGAAATGAACATACTAGTAAAAACCAGCTCTATTTAGAATTATACAAACATTGAGTTGAAATTTCTCAAAAATTTATGTAAAATAACCAATCTTTGACAAAATTTACCAAAGTCTGACTCGTTCCTTTGAAGTCGAATTTAAAGAACTATAACTTAAATACTGCAAATTATAATTTTCTGGTCATTCCCCTTTGTGGATGTAAAATATGACGTAACGTCAAAGCCATTCTCGGGGTATTTTTACAACATGATAATAATAATAATCGGAATCATTTAAAAATTATGTCTTCTGCATCAAGACAGAAACAAATAAATACACAAATCTCTTACGTTGAAAGAGAGTTTATTGTCTAAAGTTGTCCGATGCAAGGTACGTGTCCGATGTATGGTGAATTCACTTACCTAAACTTTAAAGTGACCCTATAGTAAGAACGTAAACGTACCTACTGCATTTAAAAAGAATGAGCAATCCAGTAACGCTAAAGACTGCGTAGGGTGACGCAATAAAGTCTATAAGCCCCAGACCATATAGGGTACATAAAATAAATACTTATCAGTATGATATTTCATTAACATTGTATTATCTATTCTAAGCATGGCAGTGAAACAAAAGAATTGTGTTTCGGATTTGATTTTGACAAAGTTGATTGGCTGTTCGTTGGAAAGTTTTTTTTTTTCTTTTTAAATACTGACAATTAAACATTTCCAAAAGTCGTTATTTTGGCATCTTCATATTGTTAAGTTAATCAAAATCGATATGCACTATTTCAAATAGTATTGAAATTATAAAATATTCTGTTATCGCAGACGGGTTTATAATTTATGATATTAACTACATACATAAAATTGATTGATTGTATATTGTTTAAGGTCCTTCTCGAGAATTTTTCACTCATAAATAGACACCACCCTTTGCGGGCAAAGAGCTGCACATGTTGTCATATACTCAGCACTCAGGGCCATTGAGTAAGGAGGAATCTTTTTCGTGCCAGCAACTACCGCGACACAGGGCCTCGGTTCATACGGTCTCATCCAAAGGAAAGGTCTCCATGTCCAACAGTGGGATCGAACTCGCAACGTAGGGATCAATTCCTTCCTTATTTGCAACTATAGATCAGTAGCTGAAACCACTGCGGCACGCGGGCGACACATGCATAAGAGGCTTTTGGGCAAAATGTTTGTAATGTATTGGCTTACTTCATGTGTTCAAAGAAAGATAAATATAAAATATATTATTTAATGTCTTGTACATCATTTTGTGCCCTAGGTCATCAATTTTGTTGTAGTTGAATAAATTGTGAACCCAAATCTCGTGTGTATAGCTGGGAAAATGTATCAGTGTGTTTGGATCGTTTTTCAAGGTTAATTGTATTAAAACATAGGGATACGACAATTATTGGCGAAGAGGATAGTAAACTACGCAAGTTGGCTGAAGAAGGAATGGTTAGTTTGTCAGCTTTGGTTGGATGTCCCAATTTTCGTTTGAACAGGACATTACCAGCATGGACTTCTGGTGGAAGAAATGGCTGCAGTCCTTTTCGCAGACGGTAAAGGGGTAGTTACCCCAAAACAGTTTAAATCACTTATGGTACACCATGCAGGTCGTCCAGTTCAAGATATTTTCTTCAGTATTGAAGTACATGAACCAAAGCAAAATAATGCTGAATTGAACAATTTGTTCAAATTTGCTGTGAACTGAGTGAAAAGTTTACACCGCATACAAACGTTACGTATGAAAAATATGTATTCAGTTCTATGAGTCAACTACTGAGTGAATCGATTGAAAAATATATTACAGAACTCAATCAAAAAGCACGATATTGTAATTTTGTTGATAAAAGTAAAATGGTACGTGATCAGGTAATTGAAAAATACACGTCACATAGACTTCGTAGGAAATTACTGGAGCGCACTGACGTAAAACTGGACGATGTTATAAAATTAGCACAGACACTGGAATTTGCAGACACGAGCTGATGCTATAGAAAATGGAGAGGGCAACTACATTTGATCAAGGTCATGCTATAGCGGTAAACAGAGTAAGAGCTAAGAAATCGACTTCTTATACACAAAAGACATGTTGGGCATGTGGTTGTGTGGGAAATTGTCATGGAGGTGCAGAATGTCAACTGTTCAATTGTGCAGGAGTAAAACACATTCAAAGGACTTCAAAGGGAAAAGCTAAGAGAAACGGAGTTATGCAATCAAAAACAATTAAATGAGACCCCAACATAGAATCTTAAAGAACTGCAGGGATGTGAATATGTTTTTACAGATTTGGAAACTTTTGTTATCAAAGACAGTAAGATTGACATTGATGTTGGAGCTGTCTCAGATATCATTGATTCCTGTTCTTCCGTTTACATCACATATTGACGCTGATGGAAACATCTGTAGAAAAAGAAAATCAGATGTACTTCACAACTGACCAACATAAAATTGTAACCAAGCCAGGTGAATTTTATTAGTAAAAAAATTGAAAATGCGTAATTTTTTTTTCTAAGTGCCTCGCCACAAACCGTACAGTGCTGTAGGAGTGTGTATACTTTTTTTTGCTTCGAAGAACATATATTAGGGCGTACTGGGGTATATACTGGGGTATACCGTAGGTGTCCCCAGGAAACACTGTATACAATGTATACTGTATATAACGTCTGCATACTTTAGGCGTACCGGGGCCTACTGTATGTAACTGTGCCTTGCTATCGATACATTATGTGGTATACATAGATTTACTGTATATACAGAGCAGACATACCGTACCATACTGTAGATATACCGTAGATAACTGTGAAAATGCTGTAGGATATAGAGAAAGACTGCGGATTTTCATACGGACAGGGGTTTTAAAAGCCAGTAGCGTTATAAATTTGCATATTTCGATCCGAAAGCTACGACCAAGGTTGTCACAGAAGCATTACCAGTTGCAGTATTGATCCAACAATAAGTCAAAGACCAGAGAGTAATCTATTATGTAAGCCGTAGTTTGCCCGATGTAGAAAGCAGATATTTGCTAACTGAGAAAGTGGCGCTTCCAATAGTATTGGCCCGTGAGAGATTTTATATGTACCTTTTCTCAAGAAATTTAAACTTGTAACAGACTACAAACCTTTTCAGTTCATAGTTTCCCCAGATCGAAAGCTTGTGCACGTGTGGACTTTACCGAGTCGTATATATACATGAACCTCGAAATGTGGCAGGTTGTCTATCAGGATTACTTTAGAAAGCTTACTACAAAACTCCACATGAGGAAGCAGAGAAATATATTTGATATCTGAAGGAGCTACACCTGTTGCCATGACAACCAATGAAATTGAAAGAACTTCATGAGAGGACAGCGATCTTGATAAAGTGGGGAAGTTTCTCATCACAGGAAACTTGAACAAAATAACTTGTAATGAATACTTACCTGTTAAAGATTAATTATGTGCTATTGGACATTTAGTTTGGAGAGGACCTAGAATTTTGATTCCTGATGTTATGAGAGAGAAATTCTAAATTTGGGACGTGAGAAGCATCCTTAAAAAGTTGGATACTTCAATATCTGAGATCAAAACTATGGTGGTCTGGCATGGATAAAGATATGAAGAGACACTGTAAATCATGTTATGGATGTCAGCTAATAGCTAAAGCGATGAATCCAGAACCATTGCACAGAACTAGGTTACCCTCAGAACCGTGGCAGAATTTGGCTATTGACTCCTTAGGACTATTCCCATCAGTGATAGTTTGTTTGTTCTTGCTGATTACTATTCGAGATAGGTTGGCCTGACCATCATGAAATCAACGACAATAGACGTGATTTAAGTGATTTAATGTTTGTAAAGCACTTTTGCTACACATGCTGTTCCATTATTAATAAGAACCGATGGTGGACTTTAATTTGTTAGTGGAGAATTCAAGGAGTTTTTGAAGGAGTACGGAATATCTCACCAGAAGACAACACTATCATGGCCTAAAGCCAGCGGGGAAAGTGAGCGTCGAAATAGTTCGAGAAACGAAGCTGGAATGACGAATTCCTTACGTTCCTTATGATGTATTGATTGACACTACGTATACACAACATGACTGGAATTAGTCCATCCCAAATGTTATTTGAAAGGACAATTCGTACACAACTACCCGAATTAAACCAACTTAATGGTACAGAAATCAGTAATCGAGACAGGGAAAGCAAGGAGAAGGACAAAATGTACGAAGACGCGAGAAGAAATGCGCAAGAAAATGATCTACAGGAGATCTCGTGTTGATGAAGTGAAAGAAAACCGACAAGCTTTCGGCCATTTTTTGTCCAAGTCCGATGAAAATCGTTTCAAAGGGAGAAAATGGTGTATTGTTGGAATCTGCCAAAGGTATACGATACAGAAGGAATGTTACTCATCTCAAGAAATTCATAAGGGAAATGCCAACTTCATAAAGTGAGAAATCTGTGAGAAATCAATGTGAATATGTGATAAATCAAAATGTGTCCTTGCAAAATGAAAATGTATCAAATCATGCCATTGTGTCAAGTGAACATGTGTCTTATGAAATATGTCTATGTCAAATCAGTGTGAATATAATACCAATTCCAAGGAAACAAGTGCGATTCGTATGGTGGTCATGGTGTCGTTTCAAATTCTGTCAATTTTTGATGGTTCTGGGAAACTTCTACTGAGTCCAAAGAGTCCAGAACTATTGTTCATACTAGACCTGTATGCGAACGGAAAATGTCTATCAGGTTTAAAGACTATGAACTGAGTAAAATAAAGAATTTTTTCATGTTTGTTGAACTTTTGAAATTAATGACATTGAAAGGTCCATGATAAATTATCTGTAATGCTGTTTTAGTACTTCACATAACTTGTCTTGAATAAGAGACAACTTAATTATTTAGGATATAGGTATTATCAGCAACATTGCATTCTCAATTTTAAAAAGAGTAAGGTTTTCAAAAATAAAATTTCACTTACATTTAAATTAATTTTTGATATGAAAAAAAGGAAGGGATGTAGTATATTGGCTTATTTCATGTGTTCAACGAAATATAACTATATGATATATCATTTCCTGTCTTGTACATCATTCTGTGTACTACGTCATCAATGTTGTTTTAGCTGAATAAATTGTTGACCCTAAGCTAGGACAATGTATTTGTTTGTGTGGATCGTCACCCGACATTAATTGTAATAAACCATAGGGATACGACAATGTTGACCTGAGCATTTTATTCTCAATTCGAAACTGCATTCATATAAAAGCATGCATTATAGATTTTCTAGGCTTTGTCCCTGATAATACAAATACAAAGGAGATCGAATGAATTTGTGTATCACTGTCTACTGTCAGTATCTTCGTGTAGCTATATGTAGTTATGTATGTTTATGTTTTTTTTTCAATTAAAGATACATGTATTGCATATGGCAATCCTTACTTAATCAATATTTAAAGTTCTTTGGATTTTCACTATAGTGGTATTACTACATGTATTAATTTATGTAGGTACATATACAACTGCTCTTAACCTCAAACAAGTCTCGAAGAAAATTAAACTGTTCAATGTGGGACAGTAATAAGAATAAACGAGTATTATAGTGAATAATGTAATAGTTTGATATAATGGAAATTATTTTTAAGGTTACTTTAACATTAAACACGTATTTTCTATTTTCATATCTTTGGAACTTGATTCTCTACATTTTTTTTATAATAATTTGATAGCTTAATGTATGGATTTTAAAACATGTTTTCTCTTATTTAGAAATCTTTCAAAATCAAAATGACATTACACTGAAGGGATCGGAGCATATAGCGATCTGGAATAAGGGGAGTGATGAAATTGAGGTACATTACACCTCAAATAAATACAGTATTGATGATGGCAGAATTTCCATCCATAATGTTTCTGAGGAGGACTCTGGCGTGTACCTAGGTCTTCACATATTGAGTTGCATGAAGTTACCTCTTGCAGGGATATATCAAGAAACTTGTCCTGTTACAGTAGGTCTGTATCTAGTCGCTTTTCTTGTTATAGTAAGTCTATTTCTAGACGCCAATTCTATTACAGTAGGTCTGTATCTAGACGCTTATCCTGTTTCAGTAGGTCTTTATCTACGCACTTATCCTGTTATAGAATATCTGTATCTAGACGCGTTTGCTGTTACATTGGGTCTGTATTTAGACATTCGTCCTATTACAGTAGTTCTGCGTGTAACTAGACAACTATCCAGTTATAGTAGTTCTGCATGTGACTAGACACTTATACTGTTACAGAAAGTCTGTATCTAGACACTTATCCTGTTACATTAGGTCTGTATCTAGACACTTATTACTTTAGTCAGTATTTGACTAAACACTTACCCTGTTACAGTAGATCTGCATGTTTTAGCTACATATCCTGTTACAATAGGTATGTATATGAGCATGATAACTGAAATGTATTAACATCTCATCATAGGATTTTTAGAAACATGTAATATATGTATATGGGATAGGGGTGTTACTTTGACCACTTGTTCTTGATATAAATATACTGTATAATTGATTTATTTTTTAATTAAGAGACAAAAAATATATTAGAGTATTAGGGACCGCCACTAAAGACGGGTTCAATTAGTATAGGATTAAATCGGTTAGTGATAGTTTTTCACACTTTAAAGAAAATTTTACAATAAATTCTACAATAAACTTTTTACTCAAAAATAGCTTTATATGATAAAAAAAAAATAAACTCAGCTCATTTCTTAAACACGAAAAACCTATTCTGTGTGTGTGTGTGTGTTGGGGGGGGGGGGGGGGTGTTAATCGTTAGCTTTGAAAACTTCATACCAGTTTATTAATTAATCTATGTGATATAGAACAGTTATGATTTATAATTATAACATGTATACCGCCCCTTGAAATATGAAAAGGTATATAGTGATCGAGATGTCCGTCCTTCTATTACGCTTTGGCGTACCCATCTTTTATCCACAACTCCTTAATACCACTGAATGAATTTCAATGAAACTGAACAGATTCCTTGTTACATATTGCCATTGTGCACCTCATATTTTACTTTTTGATCTGACACTTAATTCGTTTCTCACGGAAAAAAACATGGATTTTGCTATTATAATGGTTTGGGGGTGGGGGTATCTTTTTAGATAGCTTAGTGGTTATAATACCTCTAGTTTATGATTTAATATTTACATTGTCTATGTCTTTGTCGAAGATAAATAACAAATAGTAAAATACTTAAGTTATTTCTACATAAATAGACTGATTCATTGATAAGCGTGGTTTAAAAAATCACATGCTTGGCGGGAAAAATAGAAACAGACACAGGTCTTGTAGCACGTGAATTTGTGAAATTGTCAGATTTTAAGTTTCATGAAAATGATCAATCGATTGGCCTGCATGATAATTTAAATTCATGGAAATTATCATGCACGCAATCCACTCGATTGATCATGCCAGGAAACAAAAAAATAAGACAGCTATTCCTTAATCTTAATTTAATAGAAATTTCTAATTCATACTGTAATTAAAAATGACAAAATTGATTTCATTCAAAACTCAGAAAGTATTGTTTTAATTAATGAAAATTAATAAGTAAAAGTGGGTTTTGTATGCATACTTGGTATGTATATTCTTCAAAAACTATTTAGTTTTACAAAATGAAGAAAACCACTGAAATTGTTGCACAGTGTATACGGAACATAATTACATTTCACAAATTTTCTGTCTCTATGTTATGAAAAAAAGAAGAAATTTTCAGAACCGAGTAGCATCCTGTTCATTACTGTTCCCGAGGACATTTTTGAAATATTAAACTTTCAAATTAGGACAGATTTATAATTATATTGGATTCAATCAAAAAAAATTACATCTTGACCTAACGAGGGCCGTGATTTTCAAATGCATTCCATAAATTCTCAAACAAATCGTATACGAAATAAATATTTTAAATATATATGAAAGTAAATTGATATTACGCTCCGAATTTCTGATAGTCGCTGTACAAAGGATCTTTGTACAGGGACTATCAGAATTTCGGAGCGTAACAATGATCCAGTTTTAATCAGACAAAAAAATAAAATTTAATATGAAGTAAACATATTCTGGAAATGCTCAGTAATAGACATTCATGATCATCGTAACGTGAGGATGAAAAGTTGAATTCGTTTTTACTCTGAAATTTTCGTCGTTTGACGTTGGTGCAAAAGTAATACGCCGTCATTATTTACCTGTTTCAGCGAAATAAATGAAACACAAATATACTTAGAGTTGACATAGGACCATAAAAATCATATTTTGTAACTTCTAACCTTAAACCTGCTCTATCAGAATCAATAAAAAAAAACTCAAAATGTGTAAAAATTGCCATAAGGAACTTTATCTCATAGGGCCTATCATATTTCTTTTGAATATCCTTTGGAATGTTTTTGTACATTACACGTCCTATGTCTAGTGTTTTCTGTGTCACCCTGTTGACTGACATACGCGTTTATGTCAACAACCAAAAACTCATTCTCGTAACTGTTATGTAATATATGAATAGATGAGTTTCCATTTATTTATTTATTTCTTTTTTTTGGGGGGGGGGGTATGATACATGTATCAGAATAGCCTACGCTGAAGTACAATTGCTTTGAATAAAATAAATTCCAGCAACATTATAGAAGTACAAAGAATACATGAATAAATATGCACCTTTCATATGATAAAACACTGATTTCTAAAAACAGCTTAAGGTTTACAAAGATGTTAATCTTGTTATTTTTAATATTTTCAGGACATAAAATCAGTCTGTTTTATCCGTAAATTCGCTATATCTGACTCATATATGAATAAAATATTACAAGGAATGATAAGGAATTTTTCTGAGGATTACACAACTAATACTTATTCGCTAAATGCGTAAAATCGCTATAAATATCTAATTTCATACTGAACAATTCTGTAGTAGTTGCTATATATGTAACCAAGAATGACATTGAAAATCCATATATCTATACTACATGTAGTACCTTTTCATGACATAGAATGAATTTCAATTGAAATAAATCTTTCAGTGCATAGTAAATTCATACACATATATGCTTCTAAAGATCTTGAGTAAAACAAAAATAAAAACTGATATTGAATTTACATGTGATATTAACTGAGAATGGCTAGTAGGGTCCTCATGAACACATATTTATCTTCATCATATAAAGTTAAGTTTTTAATACAATCTATGAATTAGTAATATTGTACTTTCTGTGACTAGAAATCCAAAAACTAAAGCTTGTCGGAGTCCATTTTGAAAACAGAGAAGAAACACCCTCTAGAGAAACACAATCCGAAAACTTCTTTCAACTTTGGACGTCTGAGTCAGATGAAGGAACAACCTGTATAGTGCTCGTGACAGAGACACCAAGCGAATCATCGTCTTTCTTTAGAAGTAAGTCCATAAGAAATATGATCTTGTAATCAGTATGTAAAATTGTGCAAATTTTTCTTAGTATTCTGTATTTATTGCATTAAATTTCATGATCTTTTACAGAGAATCATCAGGATGATAACGGCAATTCGAGACTGATTTTTATCTTAAAATGCACAGCTTTACTCAGCAACGATTTTACCTTCTTATGGAATACCGCCAAAGCAAAACCTCTGTTGAGAAGCATTGAATTATTCTTGACCGAGAAAAAACATTCAGTGGAAGAATACAAGAATGTCGCTTCTAATTTAGTACCATGTTTCATATACGAATCAACTTCAAGTTACTTTAAATTATTGTCTGATGACGCGCGGCTAGAGACTCTTTGGACTTTGTTCAACAGCTGCCGATCTCCAATGGAAGTCATGAACTACATTGCTGATCAAAGATTGTCAACACTCGCAAAGAAATACTTCCGATTAGAAGGATACAGTCAACATGTTGATGAAACTTACATTCTATTGCCGCCTTCTGTGGCAAATATCTACCTGAAAAGTTTTGAGGATAACATTTTTAAAACTATAGAAAATCCTTGGGAGTCAAATGGTTATTATCTTTATTATTTCTCGTGAAACAGAGGTTTCCTATTAGACTTTTCCGAGTAGCGCTGACTTTTACAGTTTAAAGCTTCCTTCTACACCAGAACAATATAACAATGGCAGCTCTTTTATACCATATTGATATTTAGCTAAACATTTAATTTCACCAAAATAACGGGTTATTTCAAAGTTTAAGTCAGTTGTCTTTAAAGAAAACGACAACCACCCTACCCTCAACTCCCGGCATTTACATGTTGTTGCACCTAACAACCTATGACCACTAGAAAGGTTTTCTTACCTTTGATCTCCGTACTTGATGCGGGTTTAGTTTTCAATTAAACCGTCAACTGTACTCGGCAGTGCTTCTCACAAAATTCTATAACCCGTCTATTGTCCTCTGTCTGCTAATTTGGTTACATTTTCTATACTTTTCTTAAAAACAACAGTCAGTAGTTTTGATTTGACCTCATCCTGAGATTTTGAAATTCCTGAACTATTCTACGTCTCTGAAAACATATCCAAACTTTTAAAGGAAACTATTTTTGAAAATTGGCTTAAAAAGGTCATTTCCCCATACATATATCAAAAGTAAAGCATTAAAAAGTACTGATAACTATACCGCGTTAACAGTAATGTAGCATAAAAAATAGGCAGGCAAATTTAATTTTAAAAATGCAGATAATACACTATAAATTCGAAGGAACATAATATTAAATTTTTAGGATATATTTTCTCGTAGGAATTTTTATGCAGTAATTCCGCGACCTACCCTATGCTTGTTCAAATCATGACTCCACTTATTAGGTTTGTGCCACAATGCGAATCAAAATATTTACACGTTATATTTTTAAAGAAATATTTTAATAGTCTACTCAAGCACAGAAAGTCCACGTGGCGCAGTGGTTAAATTTGCAGAGTAATTCAAAGGAGTAGGTCCTTACGTCCGAGTTCGAATTCCACTGCAAGATGTCGAGACCGGTCCTTCGAATGAGACCGTATCAAACTCACCTCGTGTCGCAGTAGGTGGTGACACAATAAAGATCCGTGACTATTCAGTTGCATTGAGTTGCGAGTATAGGTCTAAAGGTCATAGTCGGGCAACCGCAAAATAGGCCCCTTATTTGATATAAAAAAGGACGCACATGTAGTTATGTTCCCCAAACGAAGTTGGGGAACATATTGTTTTTACTCTGTTTCTTATTATTATTATTAATATTATTATTTTTCTTCTCGGGAAAATTTTGTCCGCGAATGATCTTGTAAAGTACACATCCGATTAAGGGGAAACCTTTTTAGGGTAAGTAGGCATGACATGTAGATTTGCGGAACGAAGGTCATTTTGCGCGCACGTGCTTGCAAGAGCGCGCACGTGCAACACGTGAAATGACCAATATACTTTTAATTGCCGTAACTTTTACATTTTTCGATGTAATGCTTTGATATTTAGAATATATAGACATATTATTAATGTAGATAAGATGAAGTTGTCAACATGCCATTTTGTGTGCACGTGCTTGCAAGAGCGTGCACGAGCAACACGTGAAATGACCGATTTAATTGATATAGGCGTAAATTTTTACCTTATTGATGAAATGCTTTGAAACTCATAATATAAGGATATATTAGTAGCATAGACAATATGACATCTTCAAAATAGCAAGATCTCACGCGCATGCACGTGCGCTTCTTTCTGATTGGCTTAAACTAAAGTCTCAATATCTTTCTTGTTTTTGATGAAATCCTTTGAAATTTTGAACATAGCCATGCATAAGAATATGCTACAACATGATATATATCAATTATCAAGTAAACACATACATGCACGTGCGCTGCAATTTGATTGGCTGAAACTTTAAATAGCTATAACTTCCTTGGTTTTCAACCAAACAGGTTGGGATTTGGAACATAGATAGACATAATAGACATCTACAAGAAGGTATGGTCACCATGCATATCCATACACGTGCGTGTACGTGCGCTGCAATCTGATTGGCTTAAACTTTAAATAGCTATAACTCCCTTAGTTGTCAACCAAACAGGATGAGATTTGGAACATTGATAGATATAATGGACTTCTACAAGAAAGTATGATCACCATGCACATCCATACACGTGCGTGAACGTACGCTGCAATCTGATTGGCTGAAACTTTAATCAGCTATAACTCCCTTGGTTTTCAACCAAACAGAGTGGGATTTAGAACATAGATAGATGTTATGGACTTCTACAAGAAGGTATGTCACCATGCTCATGTATGCAGTGCGTGCACGTGAAATGAGTAAAACCAAAAATACACTTGAATGAGCGTATATTTTAATACTTTTGCATTAAATTCTTTGATATTTAGTATATTAAAGTATATAGATTGTGTAGACAAGATGATATGGTCATTACGCACATGCATTCACATGCGCACGCGTGCAATGCTAAAATTTGAATAAACTTGGTACCCTTTTGGGTAAACGTTGTTAAAGTCTCAAATGCATAGAGTTTGTCTTATTTAATGAAGATAACGGGGAATATGGCACAAAAAGGGAGTTGGGGAGCGTTTGGGGAACATCTGTAACGGTCCCCGTTACAATTAGCACTAGTTAAAGTTGTGATAATGATTTTAAACGCAAGATACGTCCGATACTAGATATGAAATATATAAATTTGGTAGATAGCCAAGCTTGTGCTCTGTGTTTTTCTAAAACATTATATGCTGTAAAATCGGTCAGTATTTGCATACAATTCAGATCATCTGGAAATTGACATATTTTCCGACCTTCCGCAGATCCCATAACTTAGAAGCAATACTGGTATTCAAACCGGCCCATGGTGACATATTCTGAATGAAAACCAGTTGCGTCATTCCAAAAGACGCTCCATATCAGTGGCCAAATATTGGTTTCAGCCTATTGTCTTTTGCAGCTTTCTACTGCGACGTCGTCTCGATCTGTGGAAAAAAAATCGAAACAATATTTAAAAACAAACAAACAAAAACAGCCAAGGTCATGATGATTGATTGATTATATGTTGTTTTATGTCACATTCGATAATTTTCCACATACAAAAACATCACCATATAATACTGAAGGGCTTCAAATTTTGACCTTCACTTGACACTCAGTTCCATTTAGCAGTGAGGAATCTTTGTCGTGCCAACGCCTGTCCTGACACGTGGCCTCGGTTTTTAAGCTCTCATCAGAAGAACGCGCAAGTTTCATTTAAAAGTGCCGAGCACATGGCAAAGAAAAAGTTAGGCTCTGGTCAGTTTTGGCCAAGATTCGAACTCACGACTTCCCGATTAAGTAGCAAGCACTCTACCTGAAGAAATACCATGAACGGTAAATCATGATGAGCTATATCAATACAGACTTTTCTAAAGGTAGTGCAGTTTCAATTTTGCTCAAATTATGACGCTTTTCGTTTTGTTCAGACATTTTTAAATCAAAGGATTACATTTGGAAGAACAAAAAAAGTTATTTTATAAATTTCATAAACAGGCAAACCAAGAAAAATCATACAGCATCTGCGGGAAATAATTTCATGTAGTGTTTTTTTTCTTTTTTAGGGGGGGGGGGTATCAGCCATGATAGCAGACAACTTTTTTAAATAGGACAAAAATAGGCGAAAATACTACTGAAAAAAGAGCAGTACCAAAAAAATTCAATTGAAGTTTGTGGTCCATTAGTCTCTTTATTTTTTTTCCATGTAGAATTCAACTCTGATATATAGTCGCTAGAGTAATTAAAAGGTAATGCAAGGTGTATTTTTTCAGATACTTTTGACCAGAGGACTTGTACGGAGCTTGAATGTTTTCTTCACTACGCACTTAACAGAGATCTTCCAACATCTGAAACAGTTTTTGAATATATCCGAACCTCCGGTTATGTGAAGGAAACTAAGGAAGAATGTATAATTGTACCCGCTGAATACAACGAGAAAGTCATAGAGAAGATGGACGTGGACATTATTGTTAATAAAACATTTAAAGATGTTTCAATTCACGAAGCTGTTGTAAAACTATGTAAGTATAATAGTAATTTAACAATACAATAGATTTGAAGTACATCATTGAGGGAGTTATAGCAATATTCCAGTTTCTAAAGGCAAGGACTAATTCCAGAGGCTATCTTTCGGGGCGGGGATAAGCTCAGTTGACTAGCACACAGGGATAAGTCTAACAACATATTATACCAATACAATAGAAAATCTAGTGTTTAATAACCAAAATTAGATTCCGATGCAGGAATTAGCTAATTTGACTAACGCACGGGGATTTAGTTTATTCTCAGCTATTCTCGGGGAATAGTTTACATTTAACTTTTTTTATTTTTATATAGGAAAAATTCAGTAGAGGTTTAATAAATAAACTCATAACAAACTACTGGTTAACCTTAAATCCTCATTACCCTTGATCGAAGTATTGGTTCACAGGCAACATAGATTCATCGGGCATTTCGGTGTACCTGCATAAACTTTACCGATGAAGATATTTTTTCGATTCTTTTTTTTTCTGTAATGATATTAATTCTTCCGTTGTATCTCGAAGACACCATATACACATATATTTCTATCGTTTATATAAATATTAAGATTGATTTTATATGTAGTTTATGCCCTCTGTTTTGCAAAATATGTGCATGGTTTTAAACAAAATAATACTGCATGCATATTTCAAAGATCCTAGTTAAGATTTAAATTAATATCAGATTTACTTTTCCTGTGAAATAATAATTTCCAATGATTTTGATTCCATTTTTTGCCAATTGGATATTTTTTTTTCAACGCATGATTTTTTTTTTTTAGAAAATTATATTTTTGCGAACAACGAGACATTGAAAATTAAGATGATCGCTACATCTTCAGTCTCTGGTCCATATATAAAATTAAGAACATTTTTTAAACTTTTAAAAGAGAATAAATTGTACAATAAACTATTGTTTTTAGGTATTTTAATCATTTATTTCAAGATTTTCAGTTCAAAATCTTTTTTTTTTCATTTATTTTACGAACACATAATCACGTACCGATTGAAGTTTATAAACTTGTTATTTATTACTGGTATATACATACTTTTATTTTTTTCCCTCTATTTGTATTTTTTCTATGTTTTCTTATATTATTTCATAATACATGTATTAATAATAATAGAGATAAAAAAACATCACACTTTGAATGTATCTCTGGAAAAACAGTACTAAACTATTTTTATGACACAAAGTCATAACTGCTAGCTTGTTTTGTTTTCAAAATTTTCTAAAAATCTTGTTTAAAAAAGAGTATTGAACAAGTAAAATGGTTGTCATGAAACAAACTCGCAACTATGAACTTGAAAATATAAAACTTGTCCATGAATGATTACATACATGTAGTTTGATTTATAAATGCAGACAAGTGTTTTCCTTTTAAATACTTGAGTCGGTCGTGCTGGTGGTAAGGTAGCTATGGATCTCATCTTTGCTTGCCAAGGGTTTCCGATCCGAAATCTACTCTACAACCCTTGACATATTTGTCTGAAAATTTTAGAACTCGCGCAAGCGAATTTGATTGGCTGCGAAGTCCGAGTCTACGCAAGGTTTTTACTAATCGACGATTTTCGGCTGAATTAAAGTCTGTTCGTGTTTTATGCAAAAGAAGAGTAATATTTACAAGGGATGAAAGTTAGGACGTGATCTATGCTAAAAAACAAGGGAGTAATTGATTTGAATTTTTTTTTTCTTTTGATTATACGTCGTATATGTTTTCAAGAATTATTGAAAGGACCACATATTAAGTCCATGTTCCGCATTTTAGGTGCATCAATGTAAGCCAATCAAATGTTACGGCTCATTGATAATAATTAATACGGCAACATGTAGAAAGTAAAGTCAAACTCCTGGCAAAAAATCCACGAAGAACGATATTTTCTACCACTTTTGAGATGCGCCCTCTGCCCACAGCTGTACGAGGTTGTTGGGATATACATGTATTCTACATAAGGCTGCATGGAGGTCGGCCGTCGCCATATTGTTTCAAACGTCATATTAATTTACGTATGTTACAAATATTTTCATTGGACAAATATTAAAGAGCTTCAAGGGACTTAACTCAATGACGGCGATAGACTTCGCAATTAAAATTCCCGTTTGATAGGACTAAATCTGCCAAGGGTTTTAGAGTAGACTTCAGATCGGAAACCCTTGGCTAGCGAAGATGCTATGGATCTTTGAAAAAAAAAGATTTACCGGTATGTGTTTTGCATAGCTGTAGTTCATGAAGGTCACATCTTTTGGACTTGTCTTTATATGTAAAAAATATTATTCATTTAAAAAATATTATTTCAAACAAAAAAAAATCAAATTCTGTAAAATTGAGTGAAAAATGTAACATCAAGCGAATGTGTAAGTTTTTGGCGTAAAACAAATTGCTAGAAAGACAACAAATGTTATATATGTAGAGTACTTGTTGTATATGTACATGTATCCAATTAAATGACCTGTTACAACGCGAATCGAAATTATTGTTCTGTAAGAGAATATTTGCGTATGTAATTACACACAAATGTAATATTATTTTTTAGAAACCTACAAGAATTCTTGAAATATTCTTTTAGCATTGCATCTTCTATTGTTTAAGTAAGAATTCCAGAAGAAGTAATTGGGTGGAACGATGAAAGAAAACAACGATATATTGAGGAACTGAAGAAAGGGAAATCTCGAATCCATCGAGCTAGAGTAATAGTTGTTGGCTGTGCAGGAGCAGGTAAAACAACTTTGGTTGAAAGACTGAAGCATCCAGACAAAGATGAGATGCCTAGAACTACCACAACTGTTGGTCTTGATGTTCACAGAAATGTGTTTCTAGTCGAAGGCGGGAAACTAATATTAATGGGTAAAAAGACATGCTTACATAACTATTTACATTTGTGGTCGTATACTTTTGTCTTACTTGTTATGTTCTAAATGGTATAAACTTCAATTTCTCTCTCCAAACTATGAAGAGGTACCGGTATATGGTTAACCGTAAAAACTTGATTTAATACACTTACAATCCTCCTCTTGGTCGCATACCGACAATAACAAAAGACAAAAGTGATGTAAAATGCTTTAAACACTGATTAATTGAAAACCCTGCACGATCGTATCCGAGAATTCCGGAAACAATCTCACACTGCACGTTATACTGACCATCTAATACTTCCTTTAAAATAATATCAGGACTTTTTTAAATTTTTTTTTTAATTTCAAAATTCAAATTATTTGAACTGAACAACCGATGTGTTCATATATTTGTCAACTCTTCCTAATGGACATTTTCGGTTGGGTGGACTTCTACTGCACTATCGATAATGGACAAAGAGTATGGTAACCGTAAAAAGCAATTATGAAATGTAAAAACGTTTATTTTGAACATTTAGTTTACAGCAGCTTACGATTTAAAGTAGTTCTGAATTGGATGTGTAACTAGGCTTTTCCTTCATCAGAGTTCTACAATATTTTAATTCAGATCATTGTGCCTTGAGTAATATTATAAACTCTGATTGAATAGCAAAAGTATATACTACGCTTTTCAATTTATTAACTTTATTTGTCACACAATATTTTTTTTAATCAGTCCTCCTCGGAACATACACTTAGCGCCTTAATCAGCTTTGGTGCCATTTTTGTTATAAATTTGTTATATGCCGCATGATTTTCCCTTATAAAGTTACATGTAAGAAGAGGCCTTTAATTAGTCATTCTACTATAAATAGACAAATTCAAGATATAAAACTTGAAAAAAAATAATTGTACCAAAACAAGATGAACATCATAATTCTCTTAGGGTCATATCAGTGAACTTGAAAGAAAGTAGTGTCCGCAAAAATCTTTTTTTACATCGCTTTTAATATTACATTGATTTTAATGTAAGGTTAGTGCTTGATAAAGCCTGATTATTTTCAAATAATTTAATTCTGATTGTAACACTGTATTTGATTGGATATGAAATTATTTTATATTGTATAAAATGGGTTGCATACGTCACAATGACGTACGTCAAAAACGTATTAATTCGCCTGACGTTACATTCAAATTTTGTACAAATTGAAGTCATTTTGTTGGAACAATCGTTTTTTTTTCTTACATCAAATGAATGAAAATTAAATTGTAAGCAATGAATTTAATAGCTACCAATTTAATACGGTATAAACTGGGTTGGAACAGTTTACGCTTTTTTATAAACGGCTTCGCGGTTTATAAAGCGTAAACTGCCCCAACCCAGTTTATACCGTATAAAATGGGTAGCTATTAAATTCATTCCTTAAATAACGCTGAATTTGACCAGTTTTGTGTCTGATGTTTAGTATGGAAAGCTTAAATACGATTTATGAAGATTTGCATGAATCTGAAATCAAATTAACATTTCGGTAAAAATATTGTTACGGAATTTAATTCTCTAGCAATAAAAGTTAAAATCTCGGCGATAGTTAAATTCAAAGCTTGTTTTAGGATAATAAACAAAAGTATAAAGCATTTCGCTCCTAAAATAATAAAAAAAGTATACCTTTTAGTGCAAAAACTTTCCTAGAATACCGTTAAGGAAGTTTACTTAAATTTTTAAGAGATACAACAGGTTTTCTGTAATTCATTTTGTTATTTCAAAAATGTAATCGTCTAAAATAGCTGACTCGCTTCTAGAATCAAAGATGAAAGGTTCCGTGGTCACTTTCTAGATAAGTTTCAGTTCTTTTTGAAATCTGCATTCTGTTCGCGTAATTGGGGTGGGGCGATGGTTACGGAAGTTATTCGATTTTTATAGACATGCAATAATTTCGCATGAAAGAAGATCCATGCATTTTTTTTGCGAGAAGTGCTTCGATTTCATTTTATATAGGATAAAAATAAACTTTTTAAAAACATTTATCGCAGTCTGTTTAATTTGGGACTCCTTAACGGCTGAGAATTCCATCTTGTTATTGTAAATAAATGAAGCGAAATGAAGATATGCAGTTGAATACCTTTTTCAACATTACATTATTTTCTTATTGAAACTTTAACTGCATATACATGTATATATGTAAATATTTACAAAACCAAGTGTGCATGTTGAGGCTTACGGTTGAAATCGATAAAATTTAGAGTCAAGAACGGTATGTTTGTAAGCGACATAGAGAAAATCTTAACTGGTCATGTTTTTGTAGACTGACTGTCATACCATAGTTTCTAGGCATCGATCTATTGTAGAAATATCTATCGCAAAGTTAAAAGTATACAAAACTTTGTATAGTGTTAGGCGTCATCCTAGATTTATTCTTCCAAGTGTTTTAGAAATAATTGCGGGATAAGTTTGTAGAAAAGAAGTACACGAATAAGATAAATTGAATTTTGAATATTCCTTTTATGCATATTTCAATATTATAATGTTAAAATTAAAAAGTTATCAAATAAACTATGTAACATTTTTATGTGGGTAATGAGCCTCATACTTAAGGTCATGTAGTTGCTAAATGTTCAACCAATTGAGGACTGATCAAATTCACTTAATAAATTTCAAAGCGTAGTATATACTTTTGCCATTCAATCAGAGTTTATGATATTACTCAAGGCACAATGATCTGAATTAAAATATTTTAGAACACTGAGGAAGGAAAAGCCTAATAATTACTCATCAAAATTCAGAATTACTTTAAATCGTAAGCTGCTGTAAACTAAATGTTCAAAATAAACGTCATTTAAAACTAAGGAGTTTGTTTTATTTTTTCATTTAATAATTGCTATTTATGGTTTCCATACTCTTTGTCCATTATCGATAGAGCAGTAGAAGTTCACCCACTCAGCTATGTTAAGGACCGATCTGGAAAATGTGACCTTTACACAGTTTTAATATGTATTGCTTCTTTTAAAAAAAATTATCAAAGCAACTGAATACTTGTAGAAAATGTAATATAGCTATCAAGTATGGATAGGACTGGGCCGTAGTTATTACTAGTTATATCGCATCTATCAGCTGTTTGTCACGTGACTTGTATAAAAATAGAATCGTTAAGATGAATGTAGGAAATGTGGATAGTGCAAGGGCATACGCTTGTTTTTCAAGAAAATAATTGATACACATTAAAAGAGGTTTATATCCTCTATCCAAAAAGTGCTGGGAGCTAGTCAGTGCTGTTTGCGAAGTACTTAAAATTTTGCCGAAAATGCTTATGACAGCTAAAAATTTCCACTTCGCTTTAATTCTGTTATAAATAAAATTAATGTTATGTAGACCAGGATCAGCTCCCAGCACTTTTCAAATTATACACTATATGAGCAATAAATATTCCAAATTTCAGCTCAAACAAAATAGTCTATTCCCTTGCACTTTTGATGTAAATCACGAATACGCACATCGTTTTAGCGATATTCTCTATATTCCTTATCCCTGTGCAGCTCCAATGCTACTAGATAAAATCATATTCTATACACATTGTATTTAATAAATTATTTTCTTTTAGTTTTAATGATTAGGTCTAAAAATTAGCAGTGGTATAATATTTATTTAAGCATTCTTGCAATTATTAAACCAGTGAATTTACTCCTCTGGATCACTTGTGCTCTGTCATGTCAAGGCTGATGACGTCATATTTGACAAAAGGCTTTCTTCTATTACTCGACTGTATCGCTATCAAGTATTCCAATTTTACAAGATTTTATGAATAATTGTTAAAATGAATAAATTCAAGTTGTTATTTACGCATGATCATGTCGTTAATTAATTTGTGTGGCTTGTTAAATTTCAATGACGTCACAATTAAACTTCCAATACGATGTACAAGGAATGTGAACTCTGACCTTCCTTAACATAGCCGAGCAATCGAAAATGTCCAATCGAAACATTTTGTTGCCATAAGAAATGACTAAATTTAATGAAGATTGTAAAATAGAATATTCTGAAATGTCCTTTAACAAAGAAATCTTTCGTTTTTTTTTGGATATCATTTCAGCTTTGTCGATTTAAAATATGTTTTATATTGAGTAGGTACATGTAGCTCACAAATTTTAGCGCTAAAATCATTGAAACAAAATTGGAAGATACCATTTATCCATAAGTATTAAATGGTTTCCGTTTTCAAAGAGGATAGTTCAGGGGTGGGAGGGGGGTATACAACTAATACAGAGATCCTAGTGGGTAATACAATCAATTTTTACTGATTGTATCATCTCATCTCAAAAAATTTGGACCCGGTCATTGACTCATCAAACTATGAATTTTTTTTTCAATACGTTTTAATATTTTCCCTTTCTTTCTCTTTAAAGATTTTGGTATAGATCTAACCTCCAGCTTCAATGGGCTTTAATTTATAGGTCGATTGAATGAGTCAGCAACTCAGAGACTGCACCCTTGATTAAGCGGAAAGTTATACTTATGAAAAGCAAGTGTATCGATAGTTGTATAATAGGGTTTTGTATTTTTCTATTGGCGTACTTTACACATTAACCAACGTTTTTAAATACCCATACGAGATGTTCCCCTCGTAACTATTTCAAAATGCATTCACAAATTACTAGCAAACCAATAGAAATTTATACCGTATCTATTATTTGCAATGATATGAAGTATGCTTTGTTGTCTAATTTTTTTTTTATTATGTATTTAAGGAATAAATTTAATAGAAGGTATAACAATAAAAAAATGACATTATTACAAATAAGCTTGATTAATTATATGTGCACTTTATACCTTTTTGTACTATTTTAACAGGAGATGCAGCTTCTTTGTCATATTCAAGAACCAGAGACAAAATGATTACTGTGATGGACTTTGCCGGACAAAGTGCATATTACGCATGTCATCAAGTTTATTTGACCAAGAGAGCTATATATGTATTAGTCACAGACATGTCAAAATCTATGGAGGAAAAAGTTGGTCAACATGTCTGTGACGCTGATGGAACAATTTTTGCAAACTGGAAATACGGAGGTACGAATATATCATTAAATACTTAGTAATTTACAGATTAGTCTAAAGAATAATGAAAATATGTCCAAAAAGTACACAAGAGAGAAGCTATGTATAAACCTGATCTCATCTCTTATGTATATTAAAATCATTTCCATATCGCATACATTTAACACCATCAACAGATTATCGTCGCTGGTCCTTTTTTTAAATAAATAATCCTAGTGGAATAAGGTTAAATCAAAATGCTTTGAATATATGTAATCTTAAAATTTACAATTGATAATCTCTATAAAATGCATGTATCTTAAAGGGGGGAGTGAAACTACTGAACCAAAACTTACAATCACGTAGAAAACAATTAAACCTTAATATTTGATTAATTTCTTGATAACTTAAAGGATTTGAAGATTTTTAAATTACGAAATAACTGAAAAGAGATATTTCATTTGATACAAACACGGGAAATCTTTTTCCCCCTATATATATTTATGACAAAGCTCTTTATCAAAAATTGAGTAATTATACTTTTTACAGATTATATTAGTTTTTGGCTTCAGAGCATTCGGACATACTGCGGAGAGGAGATGCCTGTAGTTCTGGTGGCAACACACAAAGACAAACTTCAGGAGGTAAATTTTAAATGTCTTGTGACTTGTGTTTGATGTGGTTTCAAACCTGTCGAATATTTAATATTCTAAACATGTTTTTTTTTTTTTTTTTACAAACTGTCAGAGAGCGAATTTTAATTTTTTTAGTTTGCCTATTTAAAAGAAAGATTTTATCAATTTAGGACTCGTACATTAATCTAGTTGGTTTTTAAAGGCAAAATATTTTGCATGCATTGAGACAAATTGGTGTAAATACTGTGGTTAACTCTACTCATATCAACCGAAATATATGCTTTGCACTTTGAAATAATAGGCTTGAAACAGAATAAAATAGAAGAATAAAGCTACAAGGAGGGTAAACAATATTATGCTCGAATATTTAGATATTTACATATTGACAAGCTTAAATGCAAGACTTATCTAGAGTCAGTTTTTATCAAATCGAGTAGGTTCAAGGGCAGGATATTTTGAAGTGTTGATAATTGTGTATTATATTAATTATATAAGGAAAATGTTAAAAAAAAACATGATGAAGTTTATTTTACACCAAAATAACTAATTTAGTTTCTTTATTCAAAAGTGAAAAAAAAAATTCAAATTAACTATCGGTATCTACTTGCATATGAAATATTTGTTTTTTTTTTTCTATTTTAAAGTAATTCAAAGAAGATAAAAAAAATATGAATTATATTAAGATATGTTTAATAATCAGATTCTCAACTTTGCTTTAAATGTTGATTCAGAAATTGGACAAGAGCTTTTACGAGGAAATTCTACATTCTTTACCTAAAAAACAAAATCTGAAGAAACATTTGTCTACAGAGAGGTACTTTGAGATTGAAGCCGCTCCCAGGGACAATGATAAGATACTAAAAATTCAGGATCTTCTAATTGATCTCTTAACGTCAAAGAAGGAAGAAAATTCATACTCTCACTGGGGAGAATTTATCCCATCCTTTTGGTTAACTGTTGAAGGAGAATTAGAACAAAACAGAGAAAAAGTCATGCGTGTGTCGCAAATGAAAGACAGATTCAATTTAGAATTTTCTGAAAATATTGATAGATTTCCTGATAAAGTTCGACATCGTTGGTTTCAGTTAAAGGTCAGACTTGGGGTAGAAGTATCAAAAGATATTAAAAAAATTCGGGACATGCTACAATTCTTTCATGAAATTGGGTATATTCTTTTTTTCAATGAAAAGCCCTTAAACAATGTAGCCATTCTAGATGTACAATGGTTTATTGATGCATTCAAATCATTAACCATGGATAAAAACCAAGCAGACGTAGCAAACGCTTCAAATAATTCAAACAAAAAAATCCCAGCTCTCGAGGACTGTTTCCAAACTACAGAAGATATGGATGAGTTCTATCAATCAGGAAAGCTACCATGTGAAACTCTGAAAAAGTTCTGGAGATCTCATGAAGATAAAGATCTGAACGAAAATAGTGACTCTATTTTAAAATACATGGAACGTCTTGGCCTATTAGCCATCGGAAAAATCTTTCATTACATACCATGTGTCAACAAGATGGATATCAATATTTCACAACTTGAGAGGATATCTGCAAGACAGCACAAAACACCAGTCTTACATTTCCGATTCAAGCATTGCCTGCATCATTTCTTCTTCCAAAGAGTTGTCGTTGCTTGTATGCACAAATGGAAATACTTAAAAATAGATGACAGAATTCAATTGTTCAAAAACATTGTTTTGCTAGAACACAAACAAAGCGGAAATATCATTGCTATTGGTGTTAATAAAACAGCGATTCAATTATTGGTATACAGTAGTTCAACAACTTTACATCCCGCTGATACATATAAAGTCCGCAAAACTGTCGAGAAAATCTTGAATTCTGTTGTACAAACTTTTCACAAAGCCGTGAATTATGAGGTAGGATTCAGTTGCATGGAGGATGCCAAAGTAACGCAGGAAAGCGAAGGACGATTTATTTTAGAAAAAGATGCACTTGAAAAGCGTGAGGAGGAAGGCAATTGTGACTACCATTATGAAACACACCGTGTAAATTGGAGTAAAATGGTAAAATATTGGGTAAGTTTTCAGCCCTTAAGTCTAATCATTCAATTTAAGCTTGTGCTTTTTTGGCAAAAATGTTTGTTATGGATTCCATTTGAAATAAGAAAAACATATTTATTGAAATATATTCACCATAATTTTAGAAAAAAGACCAAGGCCAAAGGCTATGGTGCGTTTCAAGAGAAACGAGGAATTCAACAGCAGAAGGCTTCTCCAGAGAGGTAAATATTATGAAAAATGGAAAAAAGACTAATGAAACAATAGAGAGGTTGAGATTTCACGTGTATGGGTATGTCTAGTAGGCGAATAACCTAAATTCTCTGTGTATTTTACGTCATCAATTTTAGCTACATCAAGATTGCTACACGTTTGTAAAGCTTGTAGAACAGAATCTACGTGAAGTGAAAACGTGTAGTTTTAATAATAAAGATTAAAAATAAAAATGAAGCCAATATATTAGTGAAAATGTTATTGTTATATAGTAAATAGGATGTTTGGTACTTATTTTAATGAAGTTTTGTTTACTTACTATAATTAAACTGAACTGACGACAAAAAACTTCTAAATAGTCCACACAGAGACACCGATCGCAGTGTACACGTAGAAGTTAGAAGTCAAAAAAATCTCAGCAGACAAAAAAATGTGTACGTGTACGTCAAAATGCATATACAAGTACACGTATAAGTTTAAAATTTCAACCTCAATAATATTCACAGAAATAGCACATACACATGTTTTGCTATGAATTTCAAAAACGTACATGTTTATTATTGTCACCGTTTGAAAAACGGGAGGGTATATACATGTAGTAATCGGGAAGTCCGCCCGTCTTTCCGTCCGTCTGTTAGGCTTTTGAGTACCCACCTCTTATTCGCAACTCCTCTCATAAATTGAATGACATTTGAATAGTATCTTTATTAGATATTATTGTCATCGTGCACCTCCTATTTGCCTTTTTGATACATATTTTGGGGTTACCAAAGCTAAACATGGACTTTGCAATTATATTTATATTGGAGGCAGGAGTATCAATTAGTGAGCTTATTGCTCACAGTGCCTCTAGTTTTCTGTATCATTCAACTCTGAAATTTGTCTTACCTGCACTTAATCGACGTTTTCTTGCCTGCCTGTAGCGAAAATAATACCTTAATTTCTCCAAGTTGATACAAACAAGGCATGAGTAACGTACGAACAAAAATTAATCAGTAGTGATTATTGACAATAACCAAAGATGGACCGATACTAAGAAGAAGTGGAAAGAATGCGCCGTCTAAAGTCATACGTCGAAATGACTCTTACAAAAAGAATGACAACAGGAGTAACTCGTTAATACCTAGCAAAGTCCATTCTCTCCACATAGTTTTCACCACTTAAATTAGTTCATACATGTACACTCTTTTTAATCCTTAACCTTTATTAACCTTTGTTATTTCCTTTTCTAAACACATTTTCTCATCCACATCAATATTTGATAACAATTTACAACAATAATCAAAATCTAAATTATTTCTTTTTATCCAGTTCCGTCGTTCTTTTACAATATCTTTCATAAATGTATTGATTATTTATTTTTTTCAGCAACACCATTGCTATTCCGTAACACTGTATATGTCTGGGAGAATACAATGTTGTAAGATTTGATTAATCGATGTTATTGATTAACGATAATTAATTTGCTCGTTTAGGTAAATCGCAAACAGTAAATAAATGAATATTATTAAGGTCTGCCCTTTAATGATGGAAGATCTAATTATTTGGTTTTTTTTTATTCCACTATTATTATTTTTTTTTATCACGGATTATGCTTAAACGATTTTTCACGAACGCTTCGATAGATTTTCATGAAACTTTCAGCAATGATGGCAAATCATCCGGCTTATTTTTTTTATATTTTTACCGTCGTCAATTCTGGTCTTGTATGTTATAAGATTTGTATAAGCTATATTTGAATCACGATATCTTTACACAATCCTCGATAAATGTACGATATATACATAGTAATATTTTAAAGACACCCTTGTAAACATTTCAATGGTTACCTTATTCTGAGATGAAGATTATAAATTATTTATGATAATATGTCGTCATCTTATGAAGTACAATTTTAGAATTTGTGTAAATGTGCACAAATTATTCGATGTAATTTAGATAAGCTGATGGAGAATTGTGAATAGTACCACAACTCAAATTCTGGATCCTTTTTGTTAATTGAAAGACAAAGAGAAAACTTTCAATACTTTATGTGTGATCATGACTTTAATATCTTTTGTCTTTATAGGGAAAAAATGACGACATTGAAACTGGAATAAACATCGAGATGCAAGAACAAGTAGTTATTGGTATGTCTTGGTTTGAACTAGTTCCGTTTTTACCTCACCTAAGCGAAGGCTCACGTGAACTCTTCTGATCAAAATTTGTACGTTGTCTGTCGTCGTCGTCGTTGTACACTTTTTAGCTCACCTGAGCCGAAGGCTCAAGTGAGCTTTTCTGATCACATTTTGTCCGTCTGTCTTGTATGTCCGTCCGATTTGTATAAGCTATACTTTTCACATTTTCACTTCTCAATAAATGGGCCGATATATATATAGTAAACTTTTAAAGCATCCTTGGGTAAACAAATGGGGAATTTAAAATATAAAAATTATAATACATATCATCCATGCAAGGGGAGATTTTAATTTGTGTAAAAGACAAAAATAGGGTTAGGTCATTAAAAAATCTTTTTCTCAAAGAACCACTGGGGCAGAGAAAACTTTCAATACTTTATGTGTGATCAGACTTTAATATCCTTGTCTTTATAGTGAAAAAATCTAAATTGTTAAAATCATGAACAAGTAGTTATTGGTATGTCTTGGTTTGGCCACTCACCTAAGGAATCAATGTTTTACATAGAAATAAATAGGAAAAATCTTTGAAAATCCTCTTCTCAAGAACCACTGGGCCAGAAAAGCTGAAACTTATGTGAAAGCATCCTAGGGTAGTGTAGATTCCTAATTGTTCAAATCATGACCCCCCGGGATAGGGCGGGGCCACAATGGGGAATCAATGTTTTACATAGAAATATATAGGAAATATCTTTGAAAATCTTCTTCTCAAGAACCATTGGGCCAGAAAAGCTGAAACTTATGTGGAAGCATTCTGGGGTAGTGTAGATTCTAAATTGTTCAAATCATGACCCCCGGGGGTAGGGCGGGGCCACAATGGGGAATCAATGTTTTACATAGAAATATATAGGAAAAATCTTTGAAAATATTCTTCTCGAGAACCACTGGGTCAGAAAAGCTGAAACTTATGTGGAAGCATCCTAGGGTAGTGTAGATTCTTAATTGTTCAAATCATGACCCCCGGGGTAGGACGGGGCCACATTGGGGAATCAGAATTTACATAGAAATATATAGGAAAAATCTTAGAAAATCTTCTTGTCAAGAACCACTGAGCCAGAGAAGCTGAAACTTTTTTGGAAGCATCCTGGGATAGTGTAGATTCTAAATTGTTCAAATCATGACCCCCTGGGGGTTGGACGGGGCCACAATGGGGAATCAATGTTTTACATAGAAATATATAGACAAAATCTGAAAATCAAAGCTGAAACTTATTTGGAAGCATACCGGGGTAGTGTAGATTTCAAATATTGTTAAAAATCTGATAAGTGGGAAGGATGGGGTCACAATATGTATTACAAGGGGGAAATCTGGTAAAGAACAGAATGGCCAAAGCTTCTCAGGTGAGCGATGTGGCCCATGGGCCTCTTGTTACATTTTGAACTTCTTCTGAAGAACCGCAGGGCCAATTTCAACAAAACTTGCCACAAAGCATCCTTGGGTGAAGGGGACTAAAGTTTGATCAATGAAGGGCCACGCCTTTATTCAAGGGGAGATGGCTGGGAATTAATGAAAATTCGATGGTATATTTTAAAAATCTTCTCAAGAACCACTGTACCAGGAAAGATGAAACTTATGGGAAACATCCTCAGGTAGTGTAGATTAAAGTTTGTTCATATCATAACCCCGGGGTGGAGCGGGGCCACAATGGCCGATTAAAGTTTTACATAGAAATATATAGGAACATTCTTTAAAATTCTTCTTCTCAAGAATTACAAAGCCATAATTGATCATATTTATTTGCAAGCATCCTCAGGTAGTGTAGATTCAAGTTTATTTAAATCAAGACCATGAGCGATTAGGGCCGACCGAAGTTTAACATAGAAATATATCGGAAAATTCTTTAAAAATCTTCTTCTCAAGAATAGCAAAGCCCTAATTGATCATATTTATAGGGAAGCATTAGGTAGTGTAGATTCAAATTTGTCCAAATCATGGCCCCGGGAGGTAGAGCGGGCCACAATGACCATCCAAAGTTTTACATAGAAATATATAGGAGAATTCTTCAAAAATCTTCTCAAGAATAGCAAAGCCATGATTAATACTGAGACTACTTTTGGATTTAGACTTTTCAATAATAAACCAATTTCTACTTTTTCCTAGCCACAGTGCTCAGGTGAGCGATGTGGCCCATGAGCCTCTTGTTTCTGTATATTTTCAACAGTAACGATTCAAATCATTTCTTTCAAATACGGGCAATAAAGCCTCTCTTATTAATTTTCACTAAGATTTTGACAGTGGTGAAGGAAAAACTTTAAGAGTACTGTGCAACAATATATTTAAAAACCAGAAAGTGATTTGAATCAGCTGTGGATACTCACAAATTTCGAAAAAAGAATTGCAAAATATTTTTTTAAAACACATTCTGATTGCACGCACAAGTACTCTGAAGTTGACATCAAAAAGATGCTTGAGTTTCGGATAGGCAATATATAATTATATTGTTTTCGGTGACCAGGTCTTCCAACTTTCTATTGGAATTCCCATTGGTACCAATTGTGCTCCGTTATAAGCAGACCTATTTAATGTATTTATGTATTCATGTAAAGTAGAATTTGTGCAAAATCATATGCGTGGAAAAAGGAAATGCTTCCTGTGGCCTTCAACACGCCATTTAGATATATCGACTACGTATTGTCAGTTAACAATCATGGTAATACCCATTCCTTCGATATATCCTGGTGAATTTGAGATAAAAGATCCCACAGAGTCTGACACATCTGTTTCACACTTGGATATTTCACTTATAAAAGACGTTAAAGGTAATCTAACAACCAAGCTACTTCCCTTACTTATGCAGCAATACACCTTCATCACCTGCATTCGCGGTGTATATATCTCAATTTATTCGATACGCAAGAGCATACTCTACGTATAAACATTTTCTAAAACGAAAAGCAAGTTGATGAAACAAGAATATCTGCAGTCTCGTTTAAAGTCATCATTACGCAAGTTCTATGGTCGATAAAATGATCTCGTCAACAAAAACAATTTATCATTGAGTCAAATGCTAGGATAGGATAGGATAATATTTATTTAAAGTCGGGTAAATCAAATAAAGAACATAAAATACAATACAACAATCATACATAATAAACAAGAAACATGTTTTTAAAATTTACATTACACTACTAAAATACTGGTATACTATTACTCCGTGGTGCTTTTCAATGACAAAGTATTCAGCACATTAAGTCCAAAATAAAAATAAATCAAACTCTGTTTACTAATTTCTAAAACTAGAATTAGCGACAAGCACAGCAATTACAACAATATCCGTACAAAATTCTTTTATTTGATTTGAACTGGATAAAAGTAGTAATATTTTAAAAATATTTTGGTAAGGAATTCAAAAGTTTGGCGGACTCATATCTAAAAGACTTTAACATATATGTTGTTGATCTTGTTTTTGGTAACACAGCCGTTTTCGTGGATCTAAAATAATAATATATTTTCTTAATATGGATAAGATCATACAGGGAAGATGGGCTTTGTTTGTTGAAAATCTTAAAACATTTGATGGCTATTGTTCTAATACGCCTGAGTTTGTGACATGACAATTTTGATTTAACTAGAAATAAGTATATGAATTTTTATCATAAACAAAACGCAGTGCTCTTTCTTGTATTTTTTCCCCATTTTCTTCTTTCTCGGTCACCACAAAAATGCAACTCTAATAAACAGAAGTTGAAGTTTGACATTATAAATGTCTGATAAATGGTTAGTTTTCCTAATTTGGTCAGGTGTACTCCTATTCTTTTAAGTACTTTTAGTTGTTGTGAATCTATTTTACAAATGTTTGAAATATGAGAGCTAAGCTTTAGCTCAAAATCTATAGAAACACCTAGTAATTTTACTTCGATTTCCGGATGAATTACATTACCATCAATTTCAAAAAAAATATCTTCCTGTTTAGTTTTCTTTCCTAGACATATAGCTTGAAATTTATCAGGATTTGCTTGTATTTAATTATAATCAAACCACTTAACTTAGGTGGAACAATATGATTCTGAAGTATTTTTTATTGATTTAATATCATCACTTGTGCGTGAGAAAGAGTTGTCTTTTGCATAATTGTAGAGATAACAATCTGACACAAAATGAAAATATCATTGATTAAATATCATTAAATATAACTGATGTGACTGACGTTTTCAGACTAATTGTTAGTCCATTATTTATACAGTGAATTAACGACGGATTTTCCCGTTATTTCCCAATCATGACAAAGAGCACACAGCAGGTGTGACCGGTCATCAGGGGATCGTGGGCTGTGCTCATATTTAAATTCTTTGCTAAATGTATTCAAATACGCATGTTTTATGCAAATTTCAGGAACATTGCATTTTATCAAGACAGTTTTCTAATATCATTAACATAAGAAGAATTTTTGTTATAGAAAATGAAAGAACCGAGTGTCCACTTAATTTTGATATGTGAAATGGGAAAGGGGGAGAAACTTAATTAATTTATATAAGTACAGGGCCATTTAATGCATAAAGTAAACTTAGTTCTTAAGTTTCATTCATTTCAGAAAATTCTTAAAGATTTTTTTTTCAAATTGTATGCTAAAAAAACTACTCTCTTGTAAATTTAATTAGCGTACTACCTGATACATCTTTCTGCTTCGCAGCTGTTCCTGAAATAATGAACTCTCTCTAATATTTTAAACCCTATAATTTCTTTGTCAAGCACAACGTTAGTAAGAATAAATTGAAAATGGTCTTTAAAAACATTAACTACTTTCTTAATATAAAGAACATTTTTACATTGTCAAATAAACTTTGTATAATTTATTCATTCGAAAACAGTTTATGATTTTTTTTTTGGACTCTAGAGTGTTATTTACCTTTGTAACTTTAAACATGTGGAAATTTGCACTCTAGCTACATGTAAGCATAATTTACAACTCTACTGAACATGTCTTTAACGAACAGTGAACCATCTCAAACAGTGTATAACACAATGAAAATCTGTTAAAAGGGCATTAACTGATTCGATAGGTTGGATTATGTGCCTAAGAAAACTAAGCATTCCTTGTTGACCTGTGACATCTCCTGCCGCACAGCGATACCCTTTGTATCGGTTGGGTACACAGAATTTATGTAAAAGTGTTGTATCTGAACTAGCAATTTAATTTTAACATTGAAAAGTAATCCGAAACAATTGTTTATTTGATGACATTTCAAATCATCTCACAACTGTTTTGAGGTCCATTGAAAAAAAAACAACATAGAAATATATTTTATGCTTTTTAAATTGTTTTTGTGGGAGGAGATAATTTTTTCCATCCAAGTCTTCGTGGTGGCTTATTTCTGTTTTTACAATCCGTCTTGGTGGCTTATTTCTGTTTTTACAAACCGTTCATCTGTTTGATTTTCTTGATTTTTTAGCTCACCAGAGCCGAAGGCTCAAGTAAGCTTTTCTGATCACATTTTGTCCGTTGTCCGTCTGTCTGTCCGTCCGTAAACTATTCACATTTTTTACTTCCTCTCAAGAACCAATCGGCCAATTTTAACCAAACTTGGTACAAAGCCTTCCTAGGTTAAGGGGAGTTGAAATTGTAAAAACGAAGGGCTAAGTCCTCTTACAAGGGGAGATAATTAAGAAAAGATAAAAATAGGATGGATCATTAAAACATTTTCTTCTCCAGAACCACTTGGCCAAGAAAGCTGAAACTTATGTGGAATCATCCTTGAGTAGTGTAGATATTAAATTGTTAAAATCATGACCCCCGTGGGTTGGGCGTGGCCACAATAGGGAATCCAAGTTTTACGAAGAAGTGTATAGAATAAATCTTTAAAAATCTTTTTCTCAAGAACCACTGGGCCAGGAAAGATGAAACTTATATGGAAGCATCCTTGGGTACTGTAGATATTAAATTGTTAAAATCATGACTCCCGGTGGTAGGGTGGGGCCACAATAAGGAATCCAAGTTTTACATAGAAATGTATATAACAAATCTTAAAAAATCTTCTCAAGAACCACTGGGCCAGGAAAGCTGAAACTTATGTGGAAGCATCCTTGGGTAGTGTAGATATTTAATTGTTAAAACCATGATACCCGGGGACTGGGGCAGGGCGGAACCACAATAAGGAATCCAAATTTTACATAGATATATTTAGGAAAAATCTTTTAAGACGCAGTACTGTTAAGGCTACCTGGAGCTTAAAATGCATTTAAAACGTAACATTGCATTGCCAAGTTGATTTTTAGTTTTATTTTTAAGTTATGTACTTTAGTGCGCCAAATTCATATAAAGGATCCCCTATGCTATATATAAACATATTTGTTACGATGTCACATGACCTTGTTGATCACGTGACGATCATTTCTTCTCTTTTGAAATGTTTCACATAAATCGCTTCGGCGCAGGTTGTTAACACAATTTTTATAAATTTTTGTCACATAAATAAACTCCTTGCATCTTTGTGAAACCGAAATGTGCTTGGGAAATGTTATACTATTTCTTTGGAACAATTTATTTCAGATTCACTTCAACTTACCGACAAATCTGAAGGTAATTTCTGCCCAATATCGTCAACTGTTTTAAAACAAAGCCATCATTCATTTTTCCCAAGCAAGATTCAGTTAGAGGGGAACTCTTGTTACAGAATTCCACAAAAGATATTAAATAAATCCTCATTTACAACCTGCGCCTGGCTCTTTTACACACATATTTTGAATTCTGCCTCTGTCCACGGGTATAAAAAAGGGTAAATGTCAAACGTATATTTTTGTACGAAGTTTGAACACGCTGACTCTTAAACAAGCTAGGTTATCTATATTAATTGGATATATTACACTTAGAAAAATTGATAAAATCACGTTCATTTTAAACTAGAATTCCGCAACTTAATATGAAGATTGAAATAAGTTGTACAGTTTATGACATTCTCCCCATCTTTACAGCTCAAGTATGCAGTGACTTGACGTCATTTTCAATTATGACGTCATACATTTGTAGTTCAGAGAAGTTCATGCAGAGAGTACACTACAATATTCTCTGGGAAGCCTTATCGTACCTGCGGAATCTTCTTCTCAAGAACCACTGGGCCAGGAAAGCTGAAACTTATGTGAAAGCATGCTTGGGTTGTGTGAATTCTGAAGTATTAATATCATGAAAAAGGAGGGGGTAGAGGGCCATGATAGGTAAAGCAAGAGGGGAAATCTGGTAAAGAACTTCATCATCCTAGTTACTCAGGTGCTCGATGAGGCCTATGGGCCTCTTGTTTTGCAGCCAACAGAAATGAAAACCTAAATAAGAATATTATTTTATTTTTTTATTTATTCTGATTCATGCATTTATCATTCTTGTCAAACGTCCAAAAAATTCAAAATCAATCATACGATTAAATGTTAAAACTTGCCTTCGAAATTAATGTATATATTTTAGTTTACACAGCATGGATTTGTTGTTATCATGACATATTCTATACAACAGATATAGACACACGTCTATCTGAGAATGAAAATATCAACATGACTGATGAAGAATTAAAAAAGCATTGCTGGAGAATATTTGAAAAACTCATGAAAGTTTCACGGGATGCATTTCAAATTTACTTTGACGAAAAAATATCTCCATATGATCTACAACAGCTTAGCACCATGGAGGATGAAATGAAAAAATCTCCTTGCAAATTTAAAAGAGAACAAATGATGATTCTGTTTCCAGGTGTGTTGACATTATGTACATATACGTATGTTTTATGAGGTAATAAGTATCCTTTGAAAATACAACGTTACTTTACTTCTCTTTGAAAGTTAAAATCATTTTTTTTCTTCATTTTTTGCTCGTGAACATGTATCTCAATTGCTATTAAAGAAAGACTGTGAATTTAACCATCTAATGAAAATTATTATATATTCTACTACGATTATCAGCTTCTTCAAAGAAAAGCCGCGGACATTACTTTACAATAAATCACGAACGTCATCAAAAAATTATCAGATCAAAAACACGTACAAAACCTGTGCAGTTAAAATGTAAATTTGACTTTAGAATGAAACACGTTTTTAAATAACATTGATGTGTCGTCTTTTGCTATTTAAACACTGTATATTCTCTATATGCAGAAAGTTGGTGATGAATGTAGGTTTCTAAAGCCAAGCGGGGCTTTTTCCCGAACCTCTCTCCGCCTTATTTAAACTCCGTAATCTTGGAAATATAGTGGTAAAAAAGGAAACTGATTTTGTTATTGTATATTAAAAAGAATTATCTTTTTAAGCTAAAAACAATTAAAGGCTAATTTTAATTCAGCGAAAGCTCAACAAACAAATTTACACTCTGGTTTTAAATGGAACAGCGTTAACGCAGCATTGTGACCTTATTCGTTTCTCTGTAGAGAAACCATCAGTCGTATTTTAGTGCTGCTAGTACATGTAGCAGAAAAGAAATAAAGTCTGTGTTTTCGTGAATGTTGCAGAATAACCTCCTCGGTCTCGAAATGTTGTTTGAAATATAAAAGCCTGGCTAGCGCCTCTGTTTTTATCTTTCAAACAACATTTCTCGACCTCTGAGGTTAATCTGCAACATCCACGAAAAGGCGGACCTTATTTCTTAAACGACATTTATATAACCAAAGTAGTAACCAATTTCTTTTAGGAAATATTTCACAAAAGTAACGAAATGTTAGGATCTTTCAATTCCTTATAATTTAGAAGTATAATAATTGTTCATTTCATTTAAGGGATAAAATTTTCCAATACATGAATTAGAGATGTGCTTTATTCACATTTAATGCGATGTTCAATGGTTATAATGTTTATAAAACATTTTCTATTTAAGGAGATGGAAGTTGTCCTTCATCCTCTAAGTTTGACATTACGATAATGTACAGACTGCTAAGAAACTATGGTAACGATGTACCTATACCAAGCCAAGGTTGGGGAAAGACACCAGAGTTTAAGGACATCAAAGAGACTGATGACTTAGAAAGAATACGGATTCGCAGAAACATGTTGAGTCATGAAGGGTCAGATAGTAGCATGGAGAGGGATGTATTTAAAATGTATTGGGTGGAAATCTCCCAGGTTAAATTTATCTTTCTTTTATTTTTGAATTGTTGATAATCATAAGATAATGTATATCAATTAGCAAATCTTTACTGAGCTTGAAATTCAAGGAAAACGAATTAATAAATAGTCTTTAAATAAAAACGAAAATACATAAAAATGGAACTCTTTGATATTCAAATGATACTCAAATGAATAAAAGCAAGTATTATTTAGATCAAAGTACATTTTAGATGAATTTCTAGGAATCTAGCATTATCATATAAGATAACAATCTTAAATCAGTATAATTCAGTCCTCTGAACGATTATTACATAACATGATTTTATCCGTTTCTTTTACGTAGGCGATAAAGCGATTAAGCAAAGGGAAGCTTCAAGCAGAATTAGATGACTTGCAAAAGGAAGCAGGAGCAGGAATCATGGTGTAAAGAGATAAAATAAGATGGTTAATATGTTGAACAAATTTACTGCACCAAATTATTGCTGTTTTTAATGTGTGAAAAAATAAGGTTCTTTGAAAATTTTATTGTTCAATGACATTTTCATGTACATAAATCAGTTAGGCTTTTTAAAGACATAGTGGTTATCCTTTGCTAGGATATAGCATGATATTTAAGATAATAGAAAAGAATACAGCCACGTGTCTTTATAATCATTGAGATATATGTGATGTAGCATTTTATAGTTCTGTATGTATTGTCAGAGGCAACAAAATAACTTACCTTCACTGAACATGTTACTGACAATCTGTTCATATTGACACTAGCAACAGTGTATGGCAATATGTCTTTTTACTGTATTGAATATGCAACAAAATGTAAGTACAATTTTGGGAAAATTGTGGTCGGCAATGATATATGCCATAAAAATGTGCATATTTTGTCATCGAAAATATTTTTTAACGAAGATTATATTACTAGAAGAGAAGAAAGTGAAATGTTTATGGTATTTTTAATGGATTTTAAAAACCATGTTACTTGCACAACTTTTTTTCACAGTAAAATTTAATATAAGCAGTATTGTTATTTTTAAAAACAGATTTTTTTTAAATTGCAGTATTAGAATAAGAAGTGACAATTATGTCTTGAATCATAAGTTGTTTAGATGTCCTATTACTGACCATTGTGTTTTCAGCGTTTTCTCTGAAACCACTGAACCAGTTTTTACCAATTTCGGTATATAGCAGTTATAGGTAAAGGAGAATAGAATTTGTGACTTTAATGACCCCTACATTGTACCCACTTGGGGCCTCAGGGCAGGGACTAAAACCAAAAAAATATATACAATCTTTTAAAATCATTTTCACTCCTGGATATCACACACCCAAACTGTGATTATGATTATAATCAGTTTTGAGCACTCTACGATAATTGAGAAATTAAGGGACGCAGTGTCATGGGTTAAAGTATAGGGCGGGGATCTAATTATTGTATCTTTAAGTGAAAATACAAGAATTGTTTAAAAATCATCTTCTCTACTTCTGGGTATTAACAAATGAGGTTTCATTTAGTTATGATGAGGGAGGATTCCTTAAGCAACCGTAAATATGGAGCAACAATGTCTGCTTTACAGGTATGCACATACATGTACATGTACTAACGAAGCGACAATATGTATACATGAATATACAATTTTTCAGTCGGCATATTGTAGCCAACGATAATACGTTCAGTACGATAATGTGTACAACTACGGGTTAAGATTTGTATAAAGACTGCAAAAATATAACCCCTAAAAATTAAAATAGCTATCATAAGCTTACTCGAGTTAACTATAGTTTTGTTAATTGTCAAAAAAGTTTGTACAGTTGTCAATCAATGTAAATGTATATTAACTGTGGTTTTATACCCCGTAATCTTTATATTTTATTTTTTCTCCATTTTTTTTTTTTACATATGTTTACATTGTATATACAATTGTTTCATAGTCAGAGGCAATACTGTATAAAGGAAGTTTTGCTGCTTTTTCATTTCGCCCCTTCGCCTTACCCCACAACGGCGATTTTAACTCGGGCCGAATTCAAAGAATATAGTTTTTTTTTTTTAGACAAAGCTATTACTTGGCAAATATAAAATTGTTTGTAAGGATAAAAGGGGAAAATAAAACGGGGAGAAAACAAGCTTGGTACAGCTTTACTTGTGAATTCGTATATTTTGTCCAAAATAAACATATTGCTGACATTTAAGAGATATAAAGGTTTTAAAATCAAAATAGGTACTTAAGTAAAGTTTCATCATTAATCAAAGTAAAAAAGAATTTACTATTCAGAAAACTATGTAAATGAATATAAGCCAAAAACTTTCTTTTATGATTATATCAGACAATACTAGTATTAGGTCAAAATTCTTATGAAATTGTAATTTGTTGCTATGAAAATCAAATTTTATTCAGCTTATGCTGGTAATTATCTGCTATTACATTTGTTTAGCCAATGAGTGCCAATAAGTCCAATGATTGCCAATATTTACAAATATAATTTCAATAATTCCTTTATCATACAGCTTAAACATTTCCATTGATTTACGATATCGTATATTGATGATTCAAATTAAATAACTTGAAATTTCCGGTAATGGAAATATTTTCTGTCGATATTGACAGTCTGTCCCAGAAATCTTCGTAACCACATCATTCCCATGAACTTACTTAATTAATAAATTCAATATTTAGTTAAAACAGATATTACCTACCAGCTGCCAATATTAATATCCATCATAAATATAGCCGTTGAGCATTTGACAAGATTTTTTTTTTTTTACAATCGTGCGTTTGATATAGAACGTTTGCATTCAATTAGGAATTCAAAATCAGGAAATACTGCATACATGGAAATTTTCAATTTTTGACTGCTTTTTTCGCCCTACTTACAGGTGGGCATATTTAGAAATTTAGAACGGGTCGAATTAAAAGATCACAGTATAATCTCTTAACCAAAACTGTTACTGGGTGAATTTTAAACGGGGCAGAATTGTTTGTAAGAGTGAGAGAACGAAAATAACAAGGGTTGAGAATAATCCTGTATACAGTACTCGTTTACGAAATAAAAAAATGGACATTGAGCACGAAAAAAATGCATTGTTTGTAATATTCTTTGTAGATCTATCACTATTTGTTACAGTGTATGGTTAACTTTTTTGCATAGAATCAATTTTTAAGCTAATAATACGTCTACAGCTGTTTTGGTATGGGCTTTTACATTTAAGTGTGTTGATTGAGTGGACAACTCTTCCCAAAGAAAGTCGTCCTAAGCACAATTTGTCATTAGTCAAAGAAAACTAGCCGTTGATTTAAAACGACTCGCACACACTCAAATTAACCCCAACCCTAACTCTAGCCAAGAACCAAACAGAGACAAAATCAATCGTATGTTTTACAAGTATTTCATGTTTTGTTTTTGTTTTTGTCTTTGTTTTTTTTTTTTTTTTTTTATTTATTTGCAAATATTCATTTTAATTTGTATCTGTTGTGTACATGTTGGTCTGTATAAGGGAACCTATGATGATTCAAATAACTATATTTTGCTTTTTAAGCTCTACAAACATTCAATGTTTATATCCAGTTCGGATGTGTTAACGTAAAAAAGATTTTCATGAATTTTTTATATCTTCTGAGAGAAAAAAACCCTTTGTTTTAAGTTAGTGTATTGTTCAAATAGAAATTTATATACTTTTAATGAAAGTCATCAACAATATTAAATTCATAATAATAATCTTCTCAAAACTTTATTTATCTAACATATCATCTAACTAAATAATTCAATTAAAACTATTGTTAAAAGGTAATAAGATATTTTCTATGAAAAAATAATAACATACAATTTGTTTATGAAAAATAGTCCATGTATGTTCCAAACTTTTGTATTATCTATGAAACATTTAGTCTTTTAGTTAGAGATTTACTTTACTGCATGTAGGAAAATTCGGTGTATGTTTCTTATTTTATACATGTATTAATGTATATTTTTTATAAAGTCAATAAAATTGTAAATATTTACATTTCCAATAAATTTCCCCTCTGTTCTTTACAAAATAAAATGCAGTATATTTTTCTCATGAACTACATTTGGTATGTATCACGAATAAGCATGGAATATCTCAATTGTTACGTCATAATACCGCTCATGGCGTCAAAAAGTAAAAAAAATATAGTGCACACGGATTTGTTATAAAAACGACAGTTGAATGGCGTAAATTTATGTCAAGTCATCAGAAAAATAATGTATATACATGTATAAGAAATGAATTTAATGATTTGAAGATTCTTGAAGCATATATGAACTACAACGCTTTAATTACGCCGGCATATTTATCATGAAGCGCTAACGCGCTTCATAAAATATGTCAGCGTGAAGCGTCGTAATTCATAACCCCATGAATCTTCAAAAATTAAATTCATTTCTTAATTGTACCGCAAAAAAAATAATAAAACATGCTAAAACTACTTTTTTAAACAGTTTTTATTTAGCAACATCGCCTCTCTTATCTATAGTGTGTCTCATGCAAGACCTAACGTTTGTGCGTTCATGTTCTCTATATTTTAAGGAAAAAATCCAAGATGGAATTTTGCAAGAAAATACTCATGTTTGAAATCGATATGACTTGTCTGAGTGCGTAAATCAGAGCCTGATCTTTGAGAAATTGTGAAAAAAAAGAAACCGAGCAAAATAAAAAAAGAAATTAAAAGAAAGGGGAAAAGATGAAATTCTGTAAAGATCAAAATTATAATAAGATTTTTTTTTGCTAAATATGCAAGGTGTAATCTTGATCTTATAAAAGCAAAGAATACCAGACGTGTGAAAATATGTAAAACTACATATAATATGTAATAAACATGCATGTTAACAAAAGATTATAATTCATAAAGCCTTAAGATGTTCTTCACTTATCTCTAAATGAAACGTTCACAAAGTCACAAGCAATGTTGCTATTACAAACCGGATCCAACGAAGATAACATATATGTTACACGTTTTTCCCTCACATTCCACAACACACATTCTCAGTTGCTCTGCTTTTTTCAGAGGACTGATTTTGTTTGCATTGTTACGAGCTCTTCACTAGAAATCACAAGGTAACCGTTCCGCTGCAAATCTCATTAGACATTCAGTTGGAATGAATGGTGTGAAAACAGCAGCGAAAACCAATCCCATACCCATGGAGAAAATTATGATCTATTGAGCATAATTGGGTATCAAGTAAATTATATTGACATGAAGAAAAAGTTTGTAATGTACCCAAAAGTACAGGAAAAATACACAAAGACGCTAGGTTCAATTAAAAAAAAATATCATCTAATGCAACATAAGTTTAACATGCGCAACGATTAGAATTGTATGTAGTTACCCTATATATTTGGTTATTTAAATTTATTTGAAATATTGTCTATGTACAATGTATTTTCATCAACATAATTGATTCTGGTAATCTTTGAGTTATAATTGTTAAATTTGTTTTACTTCTGATTTAGAAAAAAAGACTACTAAAAGATTTGAAAAAAGGGTCTGCATGCATGTTATATACATTTCGTCAATCTACAACTAGTACAATAAAAAGATGTACATGTATCTATTTGCACAGAGTGTACTATGTAATTTTTAATCTCTTTGTACGACGTACATGTACCTTGTGTTTAAGGTAATCTTATTTTATTAATAGACATGATATTATCATTTAATGAGTGACGTGTGTCTAAAAGGATACAAGAAATCATGAGTACAAAGCAACAACAAAACTGTTTAAAAAGAAATCTTGGCGATATAATCTTTATCTCCGATGCATTTTTTTTTTTAGAAAGGTACTTCAAGATTTTATTCCCCAGGCTATGTTTATCTTTTAAGGCACCTTTCTTAGTTTTGAAGGAAAATAACTGCAAGCTATTTATATGTAGAAATATAAAAACAGAAAACAAAATTTTTATTGCAACTAAAAATAGAGTACATGTTTTTATTATAGATAAGAGCCAAAGATAACAAGAAAAAGCTCTTCATCGATAAAGATGTTCAGCAATTAATGAAAAAGATAATACAAATAGTGAGGTATTTATCGACACAAGGAACTCAAATACGAGCAGACTTTTGCAAGTCTTGGAAATAAAGAAATCAGAATATAATAAATCGACATACATAGAATTGAAGACTTTTTAGTTTGAAGAGGGTTACCTTTCTTTTGCATAAATCCCACTAGGAAATCTTTTTAAAAGAAATACATCATAATTTTTGGAGGAGTATTTTTTAATTGTTTATGACATTAGCAAATTTCAGTATTTTTCTGAATGCATATATAAAAAACAGGAATGTCCAAAAAAAAAATTTCCAAACCATGAGCCAATTTTTATAATTATATTTTAGTCGTTGCTTGTAGAGTTCCATAAATTAACGTTCTACATTGTATAATGAAAAACTAAACTTCAAAACACGATCTACCAAAACTGCTACAGACTTCACAAAGGTTATCATTGAATGTTGGAGGTCGAGAGTTTGGGGCAGAATAATGACTTCAAAATACTTATTGAGCTGAAAACTGCAGGTTACATTTTGAGATATGAAAAGATTTGTCTCTGTATGTATCTTTTTGCCAATTCTTTAACACTTGTTAGAAAAGAAAAAGATGCAACCTCATCTTGTATTTCTCAGTTGCATCAATAAAATCAGTAAGTAATTACACTGTATATTAATGGATATCTAATTCATTTGTCATATTAAGGTAAAAGGGGTATTCAAAAATATTGCAGTAGAAATTAAAGCAAGTTAAGAAAAAGCATTGTATAGTGTCATATTGCAGCTGAGCTTTTTTTCGTAACTGCGTCTTGCACATGCATTTCAATAATCATTAATATATCAGTTTAATTTGAAATGGTTATTTATATAGTGCACTTTCGGCTTCCCTTATTTCTGGAAGAAAAATATGGTTGAGATATATTTAAAGCAAGGAATTTTAATTCAATGTTAAAAATTTATTATAGAAATGAATCATTTATAGAAAAAAATTAAATAAGCTCAGTAAAATTTATTTTCTTAATATAATCTAAAAGATAAACACATTCTTTATATAATCAAATAAAAATTCAAATGGATTGTTCTGAACATTTCATTTTGACTAGCTGTATGGAAGCTATGGTGTTATGTATCCATCTTCATTGTCAACGCTTAGTGAAGTTCCCAATTGACCTAGAAATCAACACGACTGGGAAGAAGCCGCAGCTGGAAAGAATTGCAAGCAAATTAATAAAAGTGACAACAAGCCCATTGTTTATCACTGTTTAATAAATAAATGGGCAAATGCTACAGTTGAGATTGTGCTTCAACATGGTATATCGCAGGTACGGAACGAGTTCTTTAATTATATGAGATATTCATATGTGTTCGATGCTCTGAAGTTGCACTTTTCTACTTTGTTTTAATGAATATCTCATCTTAAGGATTCTGTGCAATGTACAGTTCTTAAAATGCAAGAGTTATGGACAATTTTAAGCACGAATGAACCCTCATTCAACAGAGAGGGATCATTTTCGTACTAGTATCTACTACATGTACATGTAGCTGCGACGCGTGACCTCGATTTATAAGGTGTCTTTAGAAGAGCTGGTCTCAAAGTACCAGAGTGGAATTCGAACCTAAGACGAATGAATCAACTCAATATTCTGGGACTCTAGAGCAGACGTATAATTTATACGATTATACGATCAAAATTTCCACCTGACGTTTCGGAGGTCCGTGTTTGTTCTGTTCCTACTTTTATTTGTTTTGTAGACTTTTGATCTAAAAAAAACTGTTCGTTATTTCCATATTTTTCATATAAATATTGAAGAGGAAAAAAGCTTAGGGTATTTTTCATGTTTATTTTATTGCCTTCTTGATCCCAAGAAGTACACCTTTAAAAAACGATTTTTTTTCTTATTGTTTTACATTTACTGATATTATTTTATATGTAACATGTACCTCGGTATTATTTTATTTATACCCAGACGTATTGAGTGTATTGTGAAAGAAAGTGTTGATATTAACAACAACATTTAGGTTTGTAAATGGTTTTTAAACGAAGCATGAATTCATTTAATGACAATAAGACTTGTTCGACACATTTTTTTTCGTGGGTATAGGGAATTGTTAAATCAAATTTCGAAGTATTGATACAAAAATGATAATAATGTGAACAAAATAGAGACGTTGTTGAATTTTTCTTTACATATTTGCTTCCTCATTGTTAAAAAAAGTTCTGATCAGTAAAACAGACAAATGGAAAAAGAAAATAACGAACAATAATCAAGCTCAATTATTTCTTGAAAGAATACAAAATGATAGCAGAGGAAACTCGGACCTCAAAAAATATTATATTCAGAAAAAGATTGAGTAATTAGCTTCCTTACACCCTCGTATGCTCTTTGACATGGTCGGGAAAAGGAGAAATCTGTAGAAAACTTTAGGGTACAAAAATGGCACTAAATAAGGCAAATATTTTCATTAGCGGACTTGAATGCAGCTTGTTACATCAAGCACCATTCATGACCCTAAGTTGGTTGCGTTTCATTGGCGACATAGAGGTAAATAGATTAAATATCGCGAGAGCTTCGAAGCATTCATTTCGTATGCCAACACCTGATCCCACCTCTGATGTTTCGGGGGTCCGTGTTTGCTCTACTCTTATTTTGTATTGTTTTCTGGACTTCGAGATTGAATACTCCATCTATCTACTAAATTTATTTAGACGTATTTAAATTCGCAAAACATATTCCTTGATACTACATGTACATCTATCTTGAGTGATTGTATAATCGAGTTCAGTATCCACA